GACTATTATAGTTTAGGTAATATACCCTTCGCTGAGTATGTATATGTATATTTATGCATATCATTAGGTTCAAAATGGTCAAACTCTATCGAATTATTGGCAACCATCATTATATGAACAGCATTTAGAGTCCACCAATACAACAACGACAACAGAGGGAACAGTTATAAAATCAGGTAATGCAAATTTTGACAATTTGGTATTATGCACAAACTGGAATAACAATTGTAATGCACCAACTAATTCAAACATCTTCAATTTACCAAATAACCAACTACTGAATACCGATTTCAAAAGTAGTATGACACGATTATTATCAACATCCTCCAATGGTCCTGCTGTAATGGAACAAAATCCAGTTTCAGGAGAAAAGGAATTCAAAACCAATTGAAAATATTATCAATGGTAATGCGTGTACAACAACTAATCTTGTTTCTATGAGTAATAATGGCAATGATTGTTTATTAGACGATGTCCTACTTTCTACACGAATGGTAAATCTGCTCTTAGAAGAGGACAATCTAACTGATCCGCTTAATCATGATATACCAGTAAGTTATTTGGAAGAGGGAGGTGAAATAGAAGGCTTTGCAAGTGAGAAAAATCACTTACTCACAAATACAATCTCTGATTTAGACACTACTCTTAACAATAACAAAATCCATAGTAGTGGCGATAATGGTAATAACAATCATTCAACCACAAACGACTTCTTTACAAGTGGAAAATGCAAAGAATCCAACCTAATTCAATCTGTGGCGTCAACATCAAGTCTGATTACAGATAACTTGTCAAGCGTGCTTGCCACCGAGTTTGTTCAGTCTTTCTAGATGGTCTAATGGGAAGTACGTTGTTATTTCTTGTTCCAATCTTATTTTGTAGTTGCGTTTCTTCTTTTAAGGTATCATTCTTTCTATCAAAAAAAATTTCCTCAAAACTTTCACATTCATCTTTGATACTTTATCAGTATTTTTATCTTGAGATTGGTTTAATTATTGTTGTTGTCACTAACATTACCATTATTGAACGGAAAACCTTAGAGTTAGTCTGTTTCTGTTTGCCCTCTTCTGATGAAGACCCAAATATCTGCTTTATTTTTATCTATTTTTCATGGTTTGTTCGTTTTACACGTCAATAATTTTTTTTATAGGAAGGAAGAACAATGAGAAACAAGTCATACATCTTTTCACTTAACGCATTTCCTCATATACAACTACACACCATGATAGAGGTACAAACATACATGGATGTATATCAAGAAACATGGATGTATAAAGTAGGGATCAGCCTACGCATTCGACCTTAAAAATGACGTTGATTTCAACTGGCTTAGAATGTTTGTATGCACTCTTGGAATGTCTGCCATACAATCCAGATAGACATTTTTTGCCAATAATCTTATAGTACGGTTGTAGCATAGACTGATGCTCCTCGTTTTAGAACAAACAGAGAATAACATCCATTTTAAAATGACACATTGATTTATGCTGTAAAATCGATTGTTCTGCCTCTTTTTACTCAGGTCAATATCCGTGAGGAAATTGACAGACAATTTCGAAAGTAAACTTTGATTCATCTATAAAAAAGTGGAAAGTTTAAAAAATAAATACTGAGCAGTCAAGGCCTTGTGAATACTTCATCTGGTCGTATATGAGAGTGAACGCTCAATTTTGCATAGATTTTATAGTCAGCGTTGCATAGGCTAAGTGCAGTCTTCAGCTGCAGGGACGGAAATAAAAGTTTCCTCTGATTTCCAAAATGACAGAAAGGAAAAGAAATAGTAAAATACATCGAGGGAAGAGATAATATATGCGACAAAAAATATTTTATTTACCTACTTACCTATTTTTCACTTATGTAATAAATTATTATTTATTTTCTGTTTCCGTTATGCTTTTCACTGAGTTTTATTGTTACTCATGTGGACGACAAGTGATTTTGAAAACCTCAAGGGCAACAATTAGAGCAGGATAAAATGGTTCCATCTTATTTTGCGTCATTTGTTGGTTTTGGTCTTTTTAAATTCCTAAAGAAAAATTCGTAGTAGATATGTGATTTGCTAGTTTAATACAACTCACACTACTGGTTGCTGCTCACCACCACTACCAACCAACCATAAGTTCTTTCTTCTTTGACTACTTTTTTGTACTGAATGAGATAAACATTAGAAAAATTCACTGATAAATATGTTTATGCAGAGTATATGTTTGTTCCGAAAGGATCTAGAGATCCTATTTTTGTCAGCAGTTTTTATACTGTTTCTACTATTCCTAAATGATTATTACCATAATTATTATTCTTACAACTATTATTATTACTATGGTTACTACTACTGCTAATTCTGCAGTTGTTAAATGTTGTTTTTTTCAATCGCAAGCATAGACGTTATTGGTTTTCTGAATATGCAGAAAATTAAAATGACTTTTTTTATCTACAGATGATTCTTCTGAAATACGTGTCAACTTTTGTGTGTGTGTGTGTGGGCGTGAGAGAAAAAGTTTCATATCAAAGTCAGTGAGGCATGAGACTAGGAAAAGCAGTTAAAAAACTAAAGGTAAACAATAAGTGAAACATGGATCAACTGCATGATATTAATTTGTTTCTGCATTTCCTGTTAAACGGATGAAGACGCTAAAGTTTATGGAGTGGAATTTAATTTGACTTGAAAACTGAGGATATTTAACAATTCTTATTGGTTCTGATTTTGTTTCTTTTTCTCACTTCCGTTTATTTCGTCTTTACAACTTGCTTTTTCTTCTTGATTTATCTTTGAGTCATTGTGAAGATAAGTGCGCTCGCACACACATACACTGAAGTGATTGACAGAACTAATTACAAATGAGAAGTAACACCACGTAAGGTTGTATTTTTTAATATCACTATTTCAAGCTGTGAGAATTAGTCATTTTTTCGTAAGCTTGTGTATTTTTTTCCATATTTTTAATTCAGTTAATAATTCCCAATTCATAATAACAATGGACTTTTTTTGTGGACATTTTAATAGTGAAATTTCGATAATGAGAATATGTGTTGACAATAAATGATGACAAATAGTAGTCGATATAAGTAGTAATAGTAGCAGCAGCAGCAGCAGTACAACTACTAGACCGAAAGAACTTGAATGTAATCAATAAGAGTGATGACGTGTTTCTGTTTCTACTTTAAAAACGAAATAGTATTTCACTTATTTTAAGTTGTAGTCATGAAGGAAAGATATGCTTAACTCGTCTGGTTGGATGATTTACCAGAAGCATGTGCCTATCTATAGATCATACGTTTATTTGAATAACAAGTGAAGTGGAAAAAACTTGATTATGGTGCAGCTCAAACAAGTAACACTTAAGTGATCAAATCATTACTTTACTTTCTTAGCTATAATGCCCAAATTTAAACAATTTTCACTTTAATTTATTTCACCAGTTGTCTAAGAGTGTCATGCGACTAAGTAATAGTTAAGGCTTACTGCCTTATTGCATGACACTTCGAATAGATAGATGTAGGATAACTGACTACTAGTTTATCAAATTTAGTCGTTTTCCAACAACATACAGATCGATCCAAAATGATAAAGTTACAAAGCATGTAAATGTAAGCAAAGAAAACGGGTTATGTAAAGCAGTTTGACAGTTCAGTAAGAGGATTCAGAAGAAGAATACAGAAGATCAGTTTGGAGTACTTGTATCTCTTCACTTACTTTTTCAAGCAACTTATACAAGAATTTTAAACATTTAATCCACTTGATGAACTTGAAGAATACAATGAGAGTAGCATTTTATTCAGAAGGATTTTCATCAGATCCATGCAACTTAAATGGATACATCAGCAATGTACAAACGTAGACTTATATGCAAGATCTTATGACACTGGCTGAAACGTTCAAAAGACAGAATAAGAGGCAATATAATAAATCCCTGGTACATGAAACCTGCCAAACTAGACACATATTAATGAGAAGAGACAATAAATATTCCGGAATGGGCGAGAGAAATAAATATTATTAGTGCTACTGTCTGAGATAGCTATGAATTGGCAGACTGGTTGTAGTGATATCGGGTGGTGACTGGAGATGAAAGCGAAACCTGTGTTGCGGCGGGATGCAAGTTGGCGTTCTGCGGATCGACGAACTGCTTCCCTACCAATGTCATATACCAGTCTAGTGGTGATGAATTAGTTAATAACAGCTTATCAACCTCAAAGTATCAAGGGGCGGTAAGTAATAAAGGTAACTGCGACAATAGCTGTATGAAAGGATAATTATACAATGAAATATGTGAAACTTTAAACAGACTGTTACATAATTTCATCACAGTGATTAACAAGAAGGGAGAATAAATGAATGAATCAAGTGGTCAAGTGATGACAACTATAACGTCAGAAAAAGTAGACAAAAGTAAGAGGAAGAATAAGATAGCCAAAAATGTACTAATAATAATGATAGGACAGATAATTTAGGGGAGAAAATTTTCTTCCTCAAGTGTCATTTTCTAATGTTGTGCAGTCGTATTTATGCGCATGACGAATATATAGCGGTCTATTTTTGAACAGCAGTGTGAAGTTGCGCTACCAGAGTAGTGTTTAAACTGAAGCAGTAATAGTAATAATAATCATAATGATGCAGCCGTTTGTGAGATGGAGGGGAGGGGTCACCTTTATATAGATAAGTTGTGAAGATGAACAAGGCAAAGAAAGAAGCTGTACGAACTTCGCCTAAACCCAAAGACTTCGCCTGTTCAGGTGAATTATGATGGCTTCTGATATGTATCGAAAATAAACTTCTATGGCATGGGTGAAATTACAAGGATTGTGAAAAATAGCCTCGAAGGCAGTAAAATTAGCAACTCTGTGACTAGTCTCAACCAAATGAGGGAGTATGGAATTTGTAACGACGTTGTCTATCTTTTACTTAACCATGATGTTTGCTGTTCGCGAATTCCATGATGAACTTTCCTAACCTTACTCCCATTGTATTTAGATCGACACCTGGAGTTCAAGAGGCTAAAATGAAGTCAGCTAGTCTATTTTTAACACGTTAGATCAGCATCGATCTATAGCAGAATACATAGCTTAGTGTTGTCAAGATTAGTGATCTATTCATAGCATTCCTTTCTTGCGACTTTGCATATAATGTCACCCTGAACAGCGGTTTCTTGGAAGTCGTTGGTACTCTGATTTTCCCATTAAAGATCTTCATATGTTAACCTAAAAACTTTACTAAATACCCATTACATATATATGCATTATAGATAATCCTCAAATGTTTATTAAAAGTATCATGTGAGCAGACAACTTCTGATCGGCAAACCACCGGATTTCGTGTACATTAAAAGGGAGTAAAGCTCAAAAAATCAGTACGTTGAATGTATGACTTTTTTCCTGATATACACTTCTTTTATTGTCGCATCCATATTTTTTGTCAATAGGTTATCTAAAAAGGAGGTAGTATCGTTACTTTCTCTCTCGTCGGTTCGATGCTATTTAACTTATCTAATATAATCAAAGCATCGTTCTCTTTCTTCAGAATCAGAAATATATAGTCCACGTAACAGCTATGAAATTCTAACTCAAAAAGTCATTTGTAAAAATGTCATTTGGATAAAATCTGCTAAGATTGGACCCAATGGTGATCCCACAACAACATCATCTGACTGTCTGTTGAAGAGGAAGTGTGCATCTATTGTATATTTTCAAAGAATCTGTTTCAGAGTAGGTGCTGAAATCCCGATTTCTGTATTTTTCTTTATCAGTTCACTGCATATGGAACCATCTGTTTCCATAAGTGACATATCGGTTAACAAGGAGGACACGTCTAAAAATTTTATAAACTGATTAT